CCCCCAAAGCCATTTCTTCCCCGTCCGCAGCTGCAGCTGGACTCCTCTTGAGGCCTTGGGAAGACCTGGATATCATTGTGCTTCGGTGTTTAGTGATTTACATTTGCTCCAAAATTGTCCATATGCACACGACACGGTTCTGAAGGATAGAGCCTATGATCCCCCATCTGATGCTCAGCCAGGGACCTTAGTGGTAGCTGAGGGGGAGGAGTGTGTGGTGAATCCCCCAGGGAAACCTTAGACTTGAGGGCTGAGCTCTGAAGGCATTTGGAAGATTTTCTAGGCTGATTTTGGCTCTATGCAATTTTTCTTCTCTCTCCAGACATTAATTAGGCCCTGCCCTCAGGGGATGACGTGTCCTCATCCTGGTGGCCATGGCTGTCTCATCTGTCCCACCTTCTGTTAGCTTGTGCTCAGACAGGGGTTTGGGGGAAAGGCAGACAGCAGCATGTCCCTGTCCCCAGCAGCAATGCTGCTCCGTTTCTTCAGGGCCTGAAGCCACCCTCATTTTCATGTCCCCAGGGCCCCACCTTGCACTAACACTGACACTCCAATCTCTGTTCCCAGAAACCTACCTCGAGCCATCTTCATTTCCATCCCGCTGGTTACCTTTGTGTACACATTCACCAATGTTGCCTATTTCACCGCCATGTCCCCCCAGGAGTTGCTGTCCTCCAACGCAGTGGCTGTGGTGAGTGGGGACCTCGGCCCTCTCTGCAGCCCCTGCCCCCAGCCCATCTCCAGCCTTACACTTGGCCTCGCTTCTGTACCCATGCAGACCTTCGGCGAGAAGCTACTGGGCTACTTTTCGTGGGTCATGCCTGTCTCTGTGGCACTGTCTACTTTTGGAGGGATCAATGGCTACCTGTTCACCTCATCCAGGTGACGGGACTGAGGAAAGGCCGGGAGGGCGTGCTATAGATGAGACTAGGTAGGGGCCTTGCTGTGTGCAGGCCACACTAGGGACCATGGGAACAGAAAGCAGAGGCCACGAACTCTCCAGTCACAAATGTCTGATCCCAGTCTTGAGGTCAAGAAAGCCAGGAGGCAGACTACATGAGGAGAGCTGATAGGCCTACAGGGCAGAGGTTAAAGGTGACAGCTGGGTTCTAGCAAGTCTCAGAGAAGCTCCAGCACAAGGTTCTGGCCCTTATCCATCTCCCTCCCTGTGCCAAGGCTATGCTTCTCTGGAGCCCGAGAGGGACACTTCCCCAGCTTGCTGGCCATGATCCACGTCAGACGCTGTACCCCAATCCCTGCCCTCCTCGTCTGTGTAAGTTTGGGGACCCGACCAACCAGCGCACATAGCCAGAGACACCTAGAAATGGGGTTTCTTTTAGATAACGGCAAAAACTCATTCCTGCCTACGGTAGGTAGGTGGGCCATGGAGGGTGGGGAAAGGGCTGGGACTCACCTGACCTCCTGACCTGAGTGGGAAGGCCCGGAGCAGCCTGCAGGGATGGCCAGAGGCAGGTGGGAGGCCAGCTGTCAGCCCTCGGTCCTCTCCCAGTGCGGGGCCACAGCGGTCATCATGCTCGTGGGTGACACATACACACTCATCAACTATGTGTCCTTCATCAACTTCCTGTGCTACGGAATGACCATCCTGGGCCTGCTTGCCCTGCGCTGGAGGCGGCCGGCGCTCCACAGGCCCATCAAGGTGAGTCTGGAGATAACCAGGGCCACCTTCACCGGAGTAGAGCAGGTGCGGGTGACAATGACCAGGACTACGCAGGGCTTTCCACGCACTGACATACTCTGTCCTCACAACCCCAGGAAGCATGTGCTTTTAATATTCCCAGTCCACAGACAGAGACGATGAGACCAAGGTCACACGGAATGCCAGTGACAGAGCCC